AACAAGGGTTTTGCCACCAAGTACTAAGTCATGTTTTGCAGAGGGGTCAAATACTTATTTCCCTCATTTAAATGCAAATCAATTCATAACATTTTTGACATGCGTTTTTCTGGATTTTTTTGTTGTTATTCTGTCTCTCACTGTTTAAATAAACCTACCATTAAAATTATGACTGATCATGTCTTTGTCAGTGGGCATACGTACAAAATCAGCAGGGGATCAAATACTTTTTTCCCTCACTGTATTTGCTAAAAGACCAAGTCTATATTATGGCAAGAACAGCTCAAATAAGCAAAGAGAAATGACAGTCTATCATTACTTTAAGATATGATGGTCAGTCAATACGGAACATTTCAAGAACTTTGAAAGTTTCTTCAAGTGCAGTCGCAAAAACCATCAAGCGCTATGATGAAACTGGCTCTCATGAGGACCGCCACAGGAATGGAAGACCTGTTCAAGTAACAGACACATCTCAACATCAACAGTTCAGAGGGAACTGTGTCAATCAGGCCTTCATGGTCGAATTGCTGCAAAGAAACCACTACTAAAGGACACAAATAAGAAGAAGAGACCTGCTTGGGCCAAGAAACACGAGCAATGGACATTAGACCAGTGGAAATGTGTCCTTTGGTCTTGAGTCCAAATTTGAGATTTTTGGTTCCAAAAAATGTGAGACGCGGTGTGGGTGAACGGATGATCTCCACATGTGTAGTTCCCACCGTAAAGCATGGAGGAGGAGGTGTTATGTTATGGGGGTGCTTTGATGGTGACACTGTCTGTGATTTATTTAGAATTCAAGGCAAACTTAACCAGCATGGCTACCACATCATTCTGCTGCGATATGCCATCCCATCTGGTTTGGTCTTAGTGGGACTATCATTTGTTTTTCAACAGGACAATGAGCCAACACACCTTCAAGCTGTGTAAGGGCTATTTTAATAAGAAGCAGAGTGATGGAGTGCTACATCAGATGACCTGGCCTCCTTAATCCGTCGACCTCATCCCAATTGAGATGGTTTGGAATGAGTCGGACGGCAGAGTGAAGGAAAAGCAGCCAACAAGTGTGAAGCATCTGTGGGAACTACTTCAAGACTGTTGGAAAAGCATTCCAGGTGAAGCTGTTTGAGAGAATGCCAAGAGTGTGCAAAGCTGTCATCAAGGCAAAGGATGGCTATTTGAAGAATCTCAAATATAAAAATAATTTGTTTAACACTTCTTTAGTTTCCATATGTGTTATTTCATCATTTTGATGTCTCCACTATTATTTTACAATGTAGAAAATAGTAAAAATAAAGAAACTCTTTCATGAGTAGGTGTGTCAAAAATGTTGACTGGTACTGTATATAAGGTCCCATAGCTGTCAGAGCAAAAACCAGGCCATGAGGTTGAAGGAATTGTCCGTAGAGCTCTGAGGCAGGATTGTGTTGAGGTACAGATCTGGGGAAGGGTACCAAAAAATGAATGCAGCATTGAAGGTTCCCCAAGAACACAGTGGCCTCCATCATTCTTAAATGGAAGAAGTTTGGATCCACCAAGACTCTTCCTAGAGCTAGCCGCCCGGCCAAACTGAGCAACCGGGAGAGAAGGGCCTTGGTTAGGGAGGTGACCAAGAACCTGATGGTCACTCTGACAGTGCTCCAGAGTTCCTCTGTGGAGATGGGAGAACCTCCCAGAAGGATAACCATCTCTGCAGCACTCCACCAATCAGGCCTTTATGGTAGAGTGGCCAGACGGAAGCCACTCATCAGTAAAAGGCACATGACAGCCCGCTTGGAGTTTGCCAAAAGGCACCTAAATGACTCTCAGACCATGAGAAACAAGATTCTATGGTCTGATGAAACCTAAATTGATCTCTTGAATGCCAACCATCACGTCTGGAGGAAACCTGGCACCATCCCTACGGTGAAGGATGGTGGTGGCAGCATCATGCTGTGGGGATGTTTTTCAGCGGCAGGGACTGGGAGAAAGGGAAAGATGAACGGAGCAAAGTACAGAGAGATCCTGGATGAAAACCTGCTCCAGAGCGCTCAGGACCTCAGACTGGGGTGAAGGTTCACCTTCCAACAGGACAACGACCCTAAGCACACAGCCAAGACAATGCAGGAGTGGCTTCCGGATGAGTTTTTGAATGTCCTTGAGTGGCCCAGTTAGAGCCCGGACTTAAACCCTATCTAATATCTCTGGAAAGACATGAAATTAGCTGTGCAGCGATGCTCCCCATCCAACCTGACAGAGTTTGAGATGATCTGCAGAGAAGAATGGTATAAACTCCCCAAATACAGGTGTGCCAAGCTTGTAGCGTCATACCCAAGAAGACTGTAGGCTGTAATCACTGCCAACGGTGCTTCAACAAAGCACTGAGTAAAGGGTCTGAATACTTATGTAAATGTCATATTTCAGTTTTGTTTTTTATCAATTTGCAAAAATTTCTAAAAACCTGTTTTTGCTTTGTCATTATGGGGTATTGTGTGTAGATTGATGAGGAGGAATAATAATAAGGGTGTAACGTAACAAAATGTGGAAAAAGTCAAGGGGTCTGAATACTTTCCGAATGCATTGTATCTATGAGTCATGATAATCCATTGATGATCATTTCTCAACTTGTTCCCTTTCCTTAATTCATCATATCTTAACTTAACTTTCTGCCTACATTATTTCTGTAACGTTTGAAATGTGACATGTTCTTAGCATTAATTATATTCTACACCTTTCCCTATTGTTACAGATAGTGTTGATGGACTCGCACTCTGTGGTATCACATGCACGCTGTTCTTATGTAGCTGGTACAGCTTTATGCAACCATACATTTGATCTGCTCTACCAGGCGGCACATTATTCACAGCTCAAACCCCAGTTGTCCTCGTAGTTCTTAGCTGTACAGAGAGCGAACTGCGTTTGCACAAGTCAAGAACCATGGTAAGTATGTGTGTGGATATAGATATCAACATGCACATGTGAAATCTATATCTTAACAATTGTGTCCTATTTCAATCAAATAGGGTGTGAAGCCAGGCCCTGTGAGCAAGCTGGTAATCTTATCAGCCAAACCGACACAGAGGACAATGGCTGAAGGAATTAGTTAAAATCTAAAATGTATATCCCACAACTTTTACATCAGCTACAGGAAATTTGGTATTTATTTGGAACCCCTTTAGCCACTGCAAAAGCATCAGCTACTCTTCCTGGGGTCCACATGAAACATTACATAATATATAGTACAAAACATTATTAGTCAAGGACTGAAATACATACATTTAAAACGTCACACATAGCCTACATAAAGTATCCGTACATACACACAATATCTAAGTGGAATACATAGTACTGTGCAAATTACAATACAATATCTATAAAATGGCTGTGTCTCTTCACAGTCCCTTTTGTGCAGTAAGGTGTTATTTTATCTGTTTTCTTAAACTGGTTTTACTGCTAGTTTGAGTTACCTGGGGTGGTTAAAGAGTTCCATGTAGTCATGGCTCTATTTAATACTGTGCGTTTCCCAGTCTATGTTCTGGACCTGGGGACTGTGGAGAGACCTCTGGTTGCATGTCTTGTGTTGTACCGATGAGTGTCCGAACTGTGTGCCAACTGCTTGAACAGACAGTTCGGTACCTTCAACACATCAATACCTTGCACAAAGACCAATAGTGATGTAGTCAATCTCTCCTCAACTTTGAGCCAGGAGAGACTGACATGCATGTTACTGACACTTTCCCTCTGTGTACATCTAAGTGCGATACGTGCTTCCCATTTTAGCAACCATTGAGTCTATATGTTTTGACCACGACAGGTTACTATCTAGGGTTACACCCAGCAGTTTAGTATCCTCAACTTGCTCAATAGCCACATTATTCAATAATAGATTTAAATGAGATTTAGCATTGAGCAAGTGATTTGTCCCAAAAATTATGCTTTTAGGTTTTGGGATATTTAGCACCAGCCTATTGTTAGTTACCCATTCTAAAACTGACTGGAGCTCTATGTTAAGTGTCTCAGTTATTTATTTTACTGTTGCAGTCGACGTGTATACTGTTGAGTCGTCAGCGTACATAGACACACAGGCTTTATACAAGGTCAGTGGAAGGTAATTTGTAAAACCAGAAAACAATAATGGCCCTAGCCGGCTGCCCTGCGGTACACCACACTCAACTGCATTTCCATGAGAGAGGCTTCCATTAACGAAAACCCTGTGTTCTATCAGATAGGCAACTTTCAATCCATATTAAGGCAGAGGATGCAAATCCATAACACCTACATTTTTTCAGCAATAGGTTATGATCAATAACATCAAAAGCTGCACTGAAGTCTAAAAAAACATCTCCCACAATCTTCATTCTATCAATTTCATTCATCCAATAATCAGTCATTTGTGTCAATGCTGAGCAAGTTGAGTGCCCTTCCCTATAAGCATGCTGAAAGTCTGTTGTTAACTTGTTTTCTGTAAAATAACTTTGTACAACATTTTTTCCAAAAGTTTGCTAAGCACTTGTAACAGGCTGATTGGTCGGCTGTTTGAACCATTAAAGGGTGCTCTGCAATTCTTGGGTAGCGGAATGACCTTTGCCTGCCTCCATGTCTGAAGGCACACACCGTCTTCTAGGCTTAAATTGAAGAGTCACATTGTATTCCGCTACCAACCTCAGCAATTTACCATCTAGGTTGTCGGTACCAGGTGGTTTGTCCTTATTATAGATAGCAACAATTTTTTCACCTCTTCCACACCCACTTTGTGGAACTCTTTGACTGTGAGATTACTACTTATGTTTTACACAGGAGCACACTCTACAAAGGCCTCCAAGGGGAACTGCCTGACCTGTCTGTCCTGCATTTGTCCGAGGTGTACAAGGACATTCACATTGAACTGGCACTATTGATCACCACAATGGGCATCAACAGCAAGGACCCGTTGGTCGACTCTGCTTTTGGAAAAGTCCAGGCAGGAAGTCCCCTGTCCTACCAGCAACCTGTGGCAGCAAGCAGCCACATTGCCTCTCACCACGATGCTCCTCCTCCACCACCCCTACCCTTGGATAACTACAGACTGGAACATCACACTGCATGTGTGCAGTGAGAAGGAGCAGCTGTATGTCAGATCGTTGGAGACCACCTGGGATATGGCTCATACCATTGAAGGTGCTACCAAGGGGCAGAGCACCTCACTGGACTGGCATAAACTAAGAAGGCCACGCCTTACCTCCTCCCGCTTCAGGGAAGTCTGCCACATCCGAGGGCAGAGCTTAGCGGAGAACCTGGCCAACCAAATTATCAAAGGATCCCCTCAGACGGCAGTGACGAAGAGGGCTCTGGCCATGGAGCCTGCTGCTGTCAATGAGTACTGCCACATCAAGAACGGGAACTACACACCATGTGGGTTTGTAATCCACCCTGATGCCCTTTGGCTGGGGTCTTCACCTGATGGACTGATCTACGACCCCATTAAAAGCCCACAATTTGGCCTACTGGAGATCAAGTGTCCAAACTCCAAGAGTTATGTTGACTGCCCCTACCTGAAGTTCCAGCGTGGCAAACTGGAGCTAATGCCACAGCACGCCTACTACTGTCAGGAACAAGGCCAGATGCTAATAACAGGGCTGGAGTGGGATGACTTTGTGTTGTTTGCTGAAGAGGACATGCTGATCCAGCACATCTACAAAGACAGTGTGGTGGCAAATACAATCAAGGAAAAGGCAGACCATTAATCTTTTTATTTGTACATGCCTAGATGTCTACATGAAATGCTTGACTTCATACATTGCTATGCCTGAGAGATGTAGACTGTGAAAAAATAAAAATGTTTTATATATACAGTTTTGGAGTGCATGCTATTTTCATTCATCATTGATGTTGACTGCTAAAACTTGTTACAATGATCTGTTTAATCACTGAACAAACACATTGTTGAGCATACAGGTTACTTGTGTGTTGCAATTCTCCTAAACTGGTTGCCAGGTGAAGATGCGTGACACAAGTGGTAGTGCAACAAGATGAGAGACAGAGGTTTAAGGCAAACAATAGACTTTAAGGCTAGTCTTTAATGATCATTTGAGTTTGAAATACACAATTAATAACCGTCTCCATGACCTGCCTAAATATGGACATTCATTGTCTCAAGGCACATTATAAAATGTATCAAGACAAGAAAGCCAACATGCATTGTATTGATTGATCTACTGGATGAATTGACTTGTCACTAATCACAACAAGAATAAAGATGATTATTAAAAAACAACGTGTTCAGTGAAGTCAAAGGACTTAAAAGTGAATAATGTAATCATATCAAACTGATTAAAGGACTTAAAGGAGAATCTTCCTATTTCTGAAGTAAATCTGAATTGTTGATGTAAATGGCATGTTATAGAAGGGTCCATACACTTTTGGGAGGGATTTGGTTTGTTTGAGAATCTTATCCCAGCCGCAAGTCACTTCCTCATTGCGCAGTATCAGGGCACGCAAAAGACATGAACAAAAACTCAAAAAACACCCACATACGTCCTTTTAGAAACGGACACACTCGGTATAGTGATGTAGGTCTTTAGACATGAAATTGTGTCATTCCGAACTTTATCCGCAAAGTTGCATTCCATTTTGTGTGACTCAAGAGGTTTCCTCTACTATGTGTGCTGCGCGGACTGTGTCTGTGTACTACACGCTCAGCCTGCACAGCTGCGTGGGTGAAACAGCAGACTCGTTGCAGATAAAGTTAGGAATGACACAATTTCATTTGTACAACATCCAAAGACCTACATCACTATACTGAGAGCGTGGACGTATTTGGGTGTTTTTGGAGGTTTTGTTTATGTTTTTTGCGTGCCCTGATTCTGCACAATGAGCAATGAGGAAGTGTATCGCGGCTGGGGTAAGTTTCTCAAAAGCAAGCTAAATCACCCAAATCATTCTGGACCTTAATATAATAAATTTACAGTGCCTTGCAAAAGTATTCATTCCTATTTTGTTGCATTACAACCTGTAATTTAAATTGATTTTTATCTGCATTTCATGTAATGGACGTATACAAAATAGTCCAGATTTGTGAAGTGGAATTTAAAAAATGATTTGTTTCAAAAAATTCTAAAAAATGAATTACGGAAAAGTGGTGCGTGCATAATTATTCACTCCCTTTGCTATGAAGCCCCTAAATAAGATCTGGTGCAACCAATTACCTTCAGAAGTCACATAATTAGTTAAATAAAGTCCACCTATGTGCAATATAAGTCACATGATCTGTCACGTTATCTCAGTATATATACACCTGTTCTGAAATGCCACAGAGTCTGCAACACCACTAAGCAAGTGGCACCACCAAGCAAGCGGCACCATGAAGACCAAGGAGCTCTCCAAACAGGTCAGGGACAAAGTTGTGGAGAAGTACAGATTAGGGTTGGGTTTACAAAAAAAAATTCCGAAACTTTGAACATCCCACGGAGCACCATTAAAATCATTATTATAAAATGGAAAGAAAACTTTGATTTGATTTTGATGATGATTAGGATGTCAAACAGAAAGTTAATGTTGTTATGCTTTCAACATGCTTCACTGGTTTAAACCCAGCAGGCTAAATTTGTTTGTGCTTTTGTTAGCCAGCAGTAGTATATTGTTTGATGTATTTGATACCATTCCACCTATTACGCTCCAGCCATTACCACGAGCCCATCCTCCCCAATTCAGGTGCCACCAACCTCCTGTGATAGGCACACACTTGATATTGCACACCCAGCTGAGAATCAGAGATGAGGGCACACGTCAATATATAGCCTAATAAGCTACTAATTCTAAAACACTGAGCAACACAGAAATTTCATCAATTACAAATTTAAAAAATACTAAACCCTCCCCCATTTTCCTCATTGTACCAATTCTGTAAATGTCGATCTATCCTTTAGTGGTGTGCTTCTAATCGTTAAGAACTGGGGAGTTTTTCAGGATAAAAAAGAAACGCAATGGAGCTAAGCACAGGCAAAATCCTAGAGGAAAACCTGGTACAGTCTGCTTTCCACTAGACACTGGGAGATTAATTATTCAGGACAATAACCTAAAACCCAAAGCCAAATCTACACGGGAGTTGCTTACCAAGAAAACTGTGAATTTTCCTGAGTGGCCGAGTTACAGTTTTGACTTAAATCTGCTTGAATATCTATGACAAGACCTGAAAATGGTTGTTTAGCAATGATCAACAACCAATATGACAAAGTTTGAAGAACTTTGAAAAGAATAATGGGCAAATGATGCAGAATCCAGATGTGAAAAGCTCTTACAGACTTACCCAGGAAGACTCACAGCAGCTCTTTGACTTACCCAGGAAGACTCACAGCAGCTCTTTGACTTACCCAGAAAGACTCACAGCTATAATCGCTGCTAAAGGCTATTCTAACATGTATTGACTCAGGGGGTTAAGTAGTGTTAGTGCTATATTAGTATTTTTTTTATGTTAGAATTTTGTCTTCCACTTTGACATTGCAGATTATTTTGTGTAGATCCATTTTAAATCACACTTTGTAACACAGCAAAATTTGGAAAAAGTCAAGGGGTGTGAATACTTTCAGAAAGCACTGTAACTGATTATTACATGTAATCAGTTACTCCCCAACCCTGCCCATATGTTCTGTCCTAGATGCAGATGCTGAATGTGGGGGCAAGCTGTATGCCCATTGTGATAGAGATCACAGGCGAAGCCTCTATGTCTGTGTGATCGCCGGCAGTTTTTCTAACGAGTTCTGGCACTGGAGGTGAATGCAGAAGCCAGGCCCCCATTAGGCAGAGCATCTTGCTTGCGGTCAAAGAGAACTCACACTCTATTTGTAGCTCTGGCAGATGGCAACACCATCATGGAATCCTTCTCTTTTGTGGGGGCTGGGGAGGGGCAGCTGTGTGTGTTTGGGAGATTGGCAGGGTGATGGTGGTGGCTGATTGTGTATGGTCTCATATAATGTGTATGGGTCTCATTTTGCGTCAATTCCTTTGAATCTATATATTGGAGATGCAGCTCTAGACCAAGGTAAGTTTAATGGATATTCACTTCTTGTTTTCTACATTTCACTATAATACTGGCAATCTAAATCATACATTATCGCAAATTTGCAAGGTTGGATAAATGTATTAACTGCCTCGGCGTCGTAAACACACACACACACACACACACACACACACTTAATTTCCTCAATTTCAGCCACTATTCCATCTGTTCTTCCCAGCTCTGGGGAATCCATTATTGATGTTATTAAAAATTACATTGTGATTAAAAAGAGCATTCTTAGGGACCATTTGATAATTACTGGGGGGCAGGGGGATGGGGGGTCCAACCCGACGTGTCATAAAAAAAGTTTAGCCGCCTCCCTAATGTTTTTAAATGACCCTCCCCTTGTACTTGAAAAAAATTGCACCACCGTACCCCTTCATGGAATTAACTCACAATAATGATTACGACCACAGTAAATGCCTTTTCACACCAACTCCGATGCGTTCCCAACTCTGATGCGTTTACTAATATTCAAGGTAAAGAAGCACTCTTGCTTGCTGAATATAAAATAGGCTACATCGTTGGCAATGAACTGTCGGGGAAGTTTGAATGGTGTGTAGCTCTGGTGTGATGTGATCACATTGGTTGGTGGTGATAAATTGATACATTGCGGCCTGTCAGTGGCAGAACACGTGCCACTATTGGTCGAACCACAGGTTCTGCATTCAAGCAGATGGGAAGAGTTGGCTAGGATGGAACAAATTATATAGGAAAAGCTGCAAAACGGCGAATGCAAACCAGGGAAAAAACATACTACCCTCCCCTCTGCACAGTGGTGTAAAGTACTTACTTACTTACTATACTACTTAAGTAGTTTTTTGCAGTCTGTACTTTACTATTTATATTTTTGACAACTTTTACTTTTACTTCACTACATTCCTAATGAAAATAATGTACTTTTTACTCCATACATTTTCCCTGACACGCAAAAGTACTTGTTACATTTTGAATGCTTAGCAGGACAGCAAAATGCCAATCACCAATTCATGCACTTATCAAGAGAACATCCCTGGTCATCCCTACTGCCTCTGATCTGGTGGACTCACTAAACACACATGCTTTGTTTGTGAATGAGTATTAGAGTGTAACCCTGGCTATCCATTAAAAAAATAAAAAACATAAAACGGTGTCGTTTGGTTGCCTTAATATAAGGAATTTGAAATGGTTACTTTTTCCACCACTGCCTCTGCCCACCAAAAAATGACAAGTATGACAATTGGTTACTTTTTCCACCACTGCCTCTGCCCCCTAGCAGTTATCGAATGGTCCCTTAGCCTCACCCACAGTTATTGTCAAATTGGACTTACTGAACATTGCAGCTACACTCCAGTCCCCATCACATAAGTGACTGGAGTATTGATTTGCACCATCCGGCTAAATCATGCTCTTAATTTTCTAATTTAAAGGTCAAATTCGGCCCCTAGGTATGTATCTCCTCTAATGTGCATTGATGATTCCTATGTGCCTCTGTAATTAAGTTATGAAGATTGGATGAGAAATTTGCCGTTGCTCTCCACTCAATCGTGGCCACAGACCCAGGGATGATTCACTCATTTAGTTTCGCCCTTATGGTGCTGAAAAGGGGATAATTCTGTGAGTCCAGACGTGCCCCAAGCCCCCGGTTGTGATTCTCTAACTGGGTTAATCAACGCTCATTTCCTCCATGAGTCTGGCCCTGCTCTCTGAAATCCCACTCAGAGCCGGGGTCAGGTCAGTTGGCCATGAGAGGCCTAAGGGGACTGTACTAAGGAGTTACCATATGAAAGACATGGAGAC